CTCTAGTTTTTCATTCTTTCCAGCTGAATAGCACTCCACTTTATAGAAAAACCACATCTTCTTTATCCAGTCTCCAACAGATGGGCAACTGGGCTGTTTCCAAGTTTAAACTATTACAAAGTGTGCTGCTACAAACATGGGTGAGCATATGTCACTGTGGTATGATTCTTTCAATTCTTTTGCAAAGATACCCAGCAGAGTGGTCGAATGGAAACTCTAGTCCTAGTTGTTTGAGATATCTCCATATTGATTTCCGTAGTGGTTGCACCAGTCTGCACTCCCACCAATAATGAAGAAGGGTTCCTTTCTCCCTACAACCCCGCCAACATTTGTTATTGGTTGATTTCCTGATATCAGCCATTCTTTGTGGGGTGAGGTGGAATCTCAGTGTTGTTTTTAACTTCATCTCTCACATGACCAGTCATGTGGAGCATTTTTCATGTATTTGTCTGCTGCTTTTACTCCTTTGTCTGAGAAATGTCTGTTCATTTCAGATGCCCATTTTTGAATGAAAGAACAAATGGGTACTCTGTAGGTTTGTAAAGCATCGTATAGAAGTGGTTTACTGAGTAGTTATTAGCTCTTTCTCTTGAACCATAGTTCCACAGTACTTATTCCATGTTAAATGTTCAAAGTCAGTCAATATCTCTGGGGCTATTTCTGATGACAAAGATCTATTTCTGTCAACTGTAAAGCATATGCAGTAGAATTAAGGTCCAAGATTATACAATGGGTATTCCTATTAAATCCATATAACAGCCTGCTATCCCCATCCTTGCATTAAACTAATGCCGAAAGTATGGTTAACAAAATCCCCCAAACCCCCCTTTTAAGATGACTCAAATTCCTTATAGAATGAGAGGTTTGAATTAATTAAGTACAGTAAGTGGTGGAAACATTTTATTACATTAATGCATTGGCAGCATCTTCCCTGCTCCCTCTGTAGTGACTGGACCGTGGAGGTGGGTCCTCCTGACTTCAAGGGGAAACCTGATCCAAAAAAACTAGACCTAGGTTCTCCATTCTTCCCAGGGTGTGAGGTTCAGCAAATCCAATCCTAGAACTGATGCACTGCATTCCTATGTCCACAATATTTAGTCCTAGGATAATGGAATCAAGGCAAATCCCAAAACTTTCATATGGCCTTTGAGTAATAAACATACTCTCTCCTGCTGTCACTGATCATAGAAACAGGCTGAATGTGCAGACTTAAGTCACAAGCATCTGTATCTATGTGTTATCTGCACATATATGTTTGGGTGTGTGGATCAATTTATCTGTCTGTCTGTGTACCTATCTACATGCTCACACAAAAGGTCAGAAAGGAAGGGGACAGAAAGAGCGATGGGTAGAAGTACATAATGATGTCCAGTCTCTGGTCAAGCAGAACACTGGCACTACACTCAGCCTTGGGGAAGATCTCTGGGAGCTTCTTTGTGCCCGCTGCATCTTGGCATCAGAGTCACCTAGACAGACGCTGAATACACAAGCGTGGGTTGTCGTGATTCTTTACCTGTATAGAGAAAAGACAGAGGAAGGTCAGCTGGGGTCATCAGCTGGCCTCATAGCCAGCAACTGCTCCCCACGACAGCCAGGAGCACACAGGGCAGCTAGATCATGACTGCCCTGCTCCTACCCCACCGGATGGACCCCAACCTCCCCTGCACATCTGCAAATCTGAAACACTGGCTGCTGCGATCAGCTTTGTAGCTGACCAGAAAGAGTCACTGAGTCTCACGTAAGGAAAAATATGTCCACACAAGCGGAAGAACTGGAGAAGGCTCTGTGTGTCCTTTATCTCTTCACTGGGAAGTCCATTAGCACATGGTGGAGCAGGGGTCATTGACTAAGATTCCTTTCATGTAAAGAGAACTTTCCTCAGAATGCAAACCTGAGCACAAGGAGAGAATTCAACTTTCTGGCTACCCGACAGGGCTTAGGTACCTTTTAAAGCACTGTACATATCAACCTAAACTATCAGCTCATTTTTAAACAAGTCACCTTCGGATGGCTTATTGCACTCACTTATCCTTGAGGATGACACATCTGTATAGAACTTTACTATTGATCTCGAGTCCGCTATTGACCTTCACTATTGATCTGCTGCCCAGGCATCTACCTTTACAGCCTTCCTAACTGACTCTTTCGTCTCACCGACCATCAGGATGGTCCTCGGTTCTGTTTTTCACAATTCTGATGTCCCACAAGGTTTTAAGACTGTGGCAAGAAGTGTACTGGAGGAGACTCAGAATTTTTTTACCTCGTTTCAAAAGCATTGCCTTATTGTTTCCTTTTCCTCATTCTTCACCTGGTATAAATTCCTGGTTGTGAAGGAAGTGACTCTGCTGGACTTCCAGAAAATGAAGAGTCATGTCTTGGCTTCCTAAAAGGAGTTGAGAGCTTTTCATCAAATAACTGTTACAACATATAGTTGTATTCTGAAACAGTTGGACTATGATCCAATAAGTGTTTATGGACCTCAGAATAATATGTGCTTCCTACAAAACTGACTATAAGCATGGGCTGTAAAAGTCCGAGGCATGTCCTGCTGTGTTTGAGGTTGAGCAACTGAATAACATGCTCTGGTTATCTGTGATGTCAGGGTGGCAAATCTAAGAAATACTCTCTGGGAGGAGGATAACTGCTGATAAAATCAGGCTTCTGCCTTGACTCTGCCTTCTTGCTGTTCCCTGGAAGCCCGATAATCCACTCCGCTCATTTCCATCAGGTTGAGGGCACGAGCATTAAAATAGAATCACCGATTTAGCTTCCACTGCGGGAGCACATGAATGAGGTCCTTGAAACCTGCGCCTCTGTATTCGTCTGCAATCTGATTCTCTTGCACTTGTCCCTCATCCTCTTCGTCCCAGCTCCAAGCTTGGTCTGTCAAGTTCAGCGATAGATAAGTTAGCACTGGTGAGCAAGTAGACACTGGCTAAACCTGCCAAATACCTTGGCTTTCATGTAGTCCCCAAAATAACCATTTCTGGATCTTTACATAATTTTCCTTCCGCTGGATCCCCAGAAGGAAAATTCTGAAATAAGGTTCTGCTCACCCCGATTCTCTTCACAGAATTTTTAAAACTTATCTTCTCTTTGTTCTTTCTCTTTAGTTTTCTATAAAGCTTGCATATGATAAAACGAAATTTATCAAGGAAACGTTGAAATTTAATAAGCAGTCTGTGAACAACTAAGTAAAATTTAAGCAAAAAAAATAGTAGCATAACAAAGAAGAATCACAGTGGTGCAGAGAAAATACCTACATTCTATATTAAACGTATTAATGTGGGAAAAATAGAAATAAATATTTACTGAGCATTTATTTAGTGCCGGGCCCTGCTTCATCCTCAGAATGCGAGTATAAACACACACACTTGGACAGTTAACATGCTTTTGCCAAGTTCATAGAGTCAGCGAAAACTTGAAACTGCAAGTCATTCCAAAGGAAGCCCATTCAGTTACCAGTCAAAACTTTTTTCATCAGGCGTCGAACTCAGGACCTTGAGCTTCCGAGGCAGGTAACAGCGCCACTGAGCTACATCCTCGGCCAGTTTACACTCCAACGTGATTAAAAGTAGTAAGCCCGGCAGCCAGGGAGAGGGGACAGCACCTAGTGTGGGACTTATGAATATGGCGAGCATCAGTGTCGTGAAGACGGTGCATCTAGAATGAGCCCGGATCGCTGCCCTCAGCCCGGGGTCCAGCACAGGCCGGGGGAGGCAGCAGCTGTGCGGCAGGCGCGGCGCCTCTGATGGGCTCCTTGCATCTCCCAGCTCCGCAGTCCTGCACCACCGCTTCTCCATGTCCCCCAACCTCTCCTCGCTCCGCCTCAGGCCTGGGGGAGCCCCGGTCTGCAGCCCCCCAGCCCGGGTCCTCTTCGGTCCTGGGCCTCCCGTACTCCTTGGCTTCGTGGACGTGTCCGGTGCGGGCCGCAGAGGCCAGGAGTCTGAAATCAGGTCAGCAGCAGGGCCTGGGGTGCAGCTCAGGCTTAACCGCCTGCCTGTCCCGTTGGAAGCACCTCCGGCAACAATCGTAATGACAGCAACAGCACGAACTCGTCTGGTTAAAGGGAGCACGAAGGTGCTGCCCAGTCCTGCGTGGCCCGTGCTAATGAGGAGAGAAGGCGGAGGCCGCACAGCCAGCAGCGTGGGACAAGGACGGAGAGAAGCCTGGGATGGAGGCACAGGCCCACCTCGCCAAAATAACCACAAGGCAGTGCGGATCCGGGGTCTGCACCAAGCTCTGCTGAGATCTCCCCGGTCCCCGCCGCTTCCCACCCAGGCCCGTCCGGGTCCTGCACTCCCTAAGGTCACCCCCCAGCGGACCCTGGCTTTGAGCCATGGCTTCTCGGTGGGCTGTGGTTAAACCTGTGGCCTGGACCTGCAGATCCCCCTGAAAGTAACCGCGCTCCCCCCCAGCCCTGTCACCTCCGTCCCCTCTCCCGGACTCCAGGGGCTGAGAAGCGCTTTGCCCTCCTGGAGCTGCTGCGCCTCTTCTGCATGGGAGTCAGTCGCACTCGGCTCTTCCTTTCACAAACCCGCCTAAACTGCTCCTCGTTTCCGAACACTCTCCCGCCCGGCGTTCTCAAAGCAAGCGAGGTGCAGAAGCCAGGAATCGAGTCACAGAGAAATGTTTCCCAGGTGAACCCTCTGGTAAGCGATTGCCACTGGGAACTCTCCATTCTTCGGAAATGAACTTGGACATGGTTATAGAAAAGCAAACCATACCACGTGCATGCAAGAGCTTATAATCTATCAGACAAGGCAACGACACGCAAGCCACAGCCCCAGGGAACCCTTCGTGTAATAGAGTTCAATAAATGTCCAGAAAAAAGTACAATGGACGGCTAAATTCACCAATGGTGAGGGCAGTTTTTCAATTTCTCATAATTAATTTATACATCATTTAATATGATCGAGCCTATCAAAGCCACTGACAAAAGTGTTTATGCCATAAAGTAAAGCACAACTGGGCATTTGGAAACACATTACCGACTGTCTTGCTGTGCATGTGAACTATGACTTCGTTCAATTGCTCAGCGTCAGATGTGGGTCAGACCAGGCACGGAGGTGGAGAAACACGAGATATCCCAAGGTTTGCCGGAGCTCGGTTAACCAGATCCAAGTAGCTACAAAGTTTATACACGACTGACTCTCATGTACCATTTCCCTGTATGGAGAAATATTAGCATCAACATATTATTCATCACAGAAGATAGCAGACAGCCCTTCCAGAACTGCATTTTCTTCTTTTCCAGATGACTAAAGATGAAAAGAACTGACTTGCCCCTTGCAGGCCCAATGGATATGTTCATCGAGAATAAGTATTGCCAAATACTGCGAATATTTCTGCAGCATTTTGGTGATGTGTGTTACTTGACAGACGAAAAGAAAAAGGATAAAAACACAGGAGCATGAAGATAACTTTTAGATTTTAAATCTGTAACTTTTAAAGACCTTTATTCTTTTAAACTTGTATACAAATCATACTTAAAAACCCCAGTCCAACTGTAAATATTTGCACGAGTTTATGGTGAAACACCTTGTCCCTCACTATTTGAGTTGTCCACTCATCAAATAAGTTACGATACATTCGACATGCTACAGGGACAGATGGAGCAGTGTTGTTCAAGTCGTATTATGTCAAAAGTGGTCCCTCACTTTCTTCACTTTTGTGTCAGGCTTGACAAAGGCCTTCAGTAGGGGTTGCAGGGGCAGTGTGGGGGGAAACGCAGCTTTCTAGGGAGCTGTAGATTGGCTGATTTTTGTCGTCTTGCAGTGAGACACGAGGCTGCCCACCTTGCTGTCCTCATGGTGGGAAACAGATGCAATCAGTGAGAATAAACTTTCCTGGAAGCCAGGCGACTGCAGAGTCATCTAGCACCGCAGCAAAACTTTCCTTGAGGTGAACCTGAGAGAGTAAATCCTCAGCACCCGCACAGCTGATCAGAACACGCTATATTCCCAGGGTCCTGGTGTGAATCAATAAATACCTAAATCTAAAGTGTCCCTGTAACAGAGACTCGCAGCGCCATCTGCTGGCGAATTTCCATGCTTTTTTTTTTTTTTT